CACTGGTCTTCTACTGCTTTCCCAGGCCATAGCAGAGAGCTGGATCAGAAGTGGAGCATCCAGGACTTGAATAGGCACCCATGTGGGATGCCAGCACTGGAGGCAGTGGCTTACTCATTACACCACAGCACCAGCCCCAATATTGATCATTTTTGTACCATTTAACTGTACTCTGGATGTTACTGTAGCCATGTTCAGAACTACTTAGTTATTGCACTTAAGGCAAGAAGACAGTGCAACAATGCATTTAATTGCTCAGTGTACCTGGTAGTTCTTACTTCTGTAGTGTAAATTGAGAAATAAGCACTATTTCCCACAGGGGAGATAATCATCAAGTTTTGACATACCAAGTTGTTAATGATACGAAATGGTCCAGAAAAATTACCTTTGTTTTATTTCAGTATATTTAATGAGTTACCTTTATTAAGTAATGTAACTCTAAAGTTTCTGACAGAAATATGTACCATTCTGTTAACCCATTAAAGTCATAGTATAATTGTTTTTGGAATATTCAGCCAGGTATATTGATGTTTTCGTAGAGTACTAGGAGTGTTTTTTTTTTTTAATTTTTTTTTATTTTATTTTTTTGACAGGCAGAGTGGACAGTGAGAGAAAGATAGAGAGAAAGGTCTTCCTTTTGCCGTTGGTTCACCCTCCAATGGCCGCCGCGGCCGGCGCACTGTGGCCGGCGCACCGCACTGATCCGATGGCAGGAGCCAGGTACTTATCCTGGTCTCCCGTGGGGTGCAGGGCCCAAGCACTTGGGCCATCCTCCACTGCACTCCCTGGCCACAGCAGAGAGCTGGCCTGGAAGAGGGGCAACCGGGACAGAATCTGGCACCCCGACCAGGACTAGAACCCAGTGTGCCGGCGCCGCAAGGCAGAGGATTAGCCTAGTGAGCTGCGGCGCCGGCCACTAGGAGTGTTTTTATTTCCTATACTGTGCTTCTATGTCTTTGCTGCTTCCGTTTCCTTTTTTAAAATTTTTGTTTGATGCATACTAATTGTACATACTGAGGGAGTATAATATGAGTTTTTGATTCAGTATAACATTAATGAAATCAAAGTAATTAGCATACAATATCTTTAAATTTTTACCATTTTTTAGTGGTGAGTTCTTTCAAAACTCCTCATTTCTAACTATTTTGAAATACACAAGGCAGTCATGAACAATAGTCACACTACTAAGCTACAAACACCAAATTTATTCCTTCTCTCTAATACAATGTCTTACCTGTCAACCAGCCTTTCCCACATCATAGTTCTATCATGCTGTTCCCTCACAGGGTAGTTAGGTGCTGTGCTCAACAATAGTGTTCATTTGCAAAGAGAAGCAAATACCAGGGACCTAGGAGAAGATGAGAAACATCAGTATGGTGGAGAAGCGTAAGATACAATAGACCTTATTCAAAGCCTGGTTGATTTAGAAGGGTCATCAAATCAAACAGAGTGGAAAATGAAAGGACCTAGTCTTCTGGAATATTGGATGCTTTGAGCAACCAAATAGACAGCTTCCCTTATCTGCTGGTCTCTGATAGGTAGGATGGAGGGTGGGGGCTGCTGGTAAATGAAAAGCATTGCCAGGCCTCTGCCTATCCATGGTCCCACTCTGCATTCCCTTAGGTACTTATCTATGGATTTCTCTCAAAACTTTATTATAGTGACCACTCTCTTCCTGAAGTCTGATGTCAAAACTGTGAAGGTTCTCAGACATAAAGGCATTAGGAAAAATACATTATCTTAGACAATGCACAGGGGCTGAGCAATAGCTGTAATCAAAGCTGTTGGTATTTGCCTTTTTTAGGTTCATCCTTCTCTCATGGACTGATTCTTTCATATAATAATGAAATCCTAATTTCACACCAACTTGAATGAACAGTTAAAGAGGTTGCCTTTCAAATATGTATCTTTTTCCCCAAATGAGAGTATTTCAAAAGTTTTTGAAAAAATAGAATTGAAAGACAAATTTGTTTTTGTACAAAAGAATTATGAGATCCACGCTTAATTATTTTTTCTTGAAGTACATTTTCCGTGAACTTTTTGATGAACCATTTGACTTGAAGATCTTTAAATGACAGCCAAAAATATACTTATTAAACCAGCTCTGATAATAAAAATTCCAAATATACTTGATGCCCATCAGCTGTCCTCACATTTTCTCTCAGCCCAACCCTCTGTTTAACCCTGATCTTTCTGAAAGAAATCCAGGATGGGGGGAGGCCAGTGGGAAGCCCCTGGCTTGAAAGTGCCAGGGTCATAGGTGCTTACATTTGACAGGGCTTGTAAAATCAGTGGCAAGAAACTGGCCTGTTTCATCCTTTTTCCCCTTCACTTCCCTTCGTTCAGGCCATGTCCTGGTATGCTTTCCTATCAAACTTTCTTTGTTTTGTGATTTGAGGTTTGAAGCATACAGATGGCAGGTTTAAAAATTCCAACTTCAGAGAAACAGGTGCTTTTGATAAGCAATTCACACCAACTGTACTACAAAGGATAAATCAGTGGATGATGGATCAAGTGTTTTATTACTTGTTAACTAAGAAGCATTTGACTTGGCTTTTATAGGTTTTGGTAATAAAAGGTATGTCAGTTTATCATACCTATGTTAAAGTAGATATTTGTCTTATATTATTGTTTTAAGTTTTCAGAAGGTTTTATTTCAGTTTTTGCAACCCCAAATTCAGCCCAGCTATGTTTGAAGCACACCTCTGGTTGCTTTCTTTGCTTCCCTTGGTTAAGCTACTGCATGTTATTAAGAGTGGGTATCTAAGGGGCCATGTCTCCCAAGCCAGATCCTTCACTGCCATTCAGGGTAAGGGCCCATTTGCAAGGTGTTCAACTCTGTCCAAAAATAATATACATATATATATATATATATATTAAGTCAAATAGCATTATTTCAGACATGGAAGAAATACTTCTGTAGTGTATCTCTTGCTCAAAAGAAGGAAGAAACTAAGTGATTGGAATCCACCAAAGGATGAGTTGACAGTCACCACGCCTTGTTATTTATGTTGCTGTTGGCATCCATTTTGGTAGGCTGGGGTTTTCAAGCACCCTTATTATAAAGTAAGTCCCCCTCTAGCTGTTTCCAGTTTATAGAGCTGTGAGTCCTTATTAGGTGTTCATTGATGTTAAAAATGAGAATTTACATGACGTTTTTATTTCAGGCATTGTTTTAACAATTGTTTCAATGAACTTCTTAGACATTATTCTTTCTGTCAACTTGTGTCAGATAGAGGAATACATGTGAAAGCATTTCAGTACCCTGCTTGTGACTGAAGCATGCATTGTGGGGAGATACCATGTGTTGACCTCTGAGTTCCTATTCACCAATACATTCATTTCTGCCCACCTCATAGTGTTGCAGTAGTGGCGACATCATGTTCATCATTCAAGTGCAATATAGTGAGAAATATTAAAATACATATGCACATATATCAAAACATAAAATCTAAGGATGTGATGTGGTGATTGAGAGGAAAAGCTTTGAATAAAGAAAATCTGAATTTATGTTCTGGGTTGTCCATTTTTTAGCATTAAAGTTGTCAGGCCCCAGAACCTGGTTAAGCTATACTGTTTCATTACCTATAGAATGGAGATAATAATAATTTTTTAGGACTTTGAAAGTGGCAAAGGAAATAATAAGTAGTGACTATTGTTTTTTTCTTTAAAAATATTTATTATTTATTTGAATGGCAGAGAGACAGAGATGGAGAGACAGAGATCTTCCATCTACTGGTTTACTCCCCAAATTCCAGCAAAACTAGGGCTAAGCCAAATCAAAGTCAAAATCCATGAATTCCAGCCCTTGTGGGAGATGAGAAGCCCCAACCACTGTCTCCTGGATGCGTCTGCAGGAAACTGGATTGGAAGCAAGGAGCAGGGACTGAAACTACCACTCTGATAGAGGATGTGGTGTCCCATGTGGTAGCTTGGCCAGTTGTACTGCTGTGCTGGCCCTCAGTAAGTGGATTTTAAAAAGAGGTGCTTGAAGCTGGCATTGTGGCATGGTGACAAAGGCCACTGCCTGTGATGCTGGCATCCCCTAGAGGTATTCTGTCTGTTCACTTCTGATCCAGCTCCCTGCTAACGGTCAGAAAAGCTGTGGAAGATGACCCAAGTATTTGGGCCCGTGCCCCATGTGGAGACCTGGATGAAGCTCCTGGTTTCAGCCAGGTCCAGCCCTGGCTGACCTAGGGAGTGAACCAGTTGATCGAAGATGTCTCTCTGGGTCTCTCCCACTGTGTACCTCTACCTTTCAAAATGAATAAATAAATCTTTAAAAAATAAACATTTCAAGAAAGAGAAATGATAAATACCCTTTTAAGGTATTGGGTTTAAATATCAATCCTAGTGACTTTTTGGTGACATAACAGTTTTTAATATTGTTTTCATCTTAATATCTCATATTGGCATTATGTTATAAAATATTTTTTGAATTTTAATTCAACTTTTTTCTTAGCAGTACATAAAATAATGTTTGTTATAACTGATTACTTATTAGGTTCAATAAAGCCTAGTATTATGAAGTATGTCTACATTTCTTCAGGAAGCAGTGACTTGATGTGGCTCTGCATTCCTCAGTTGTGAATAGATTATGCCAATATTCCTGAGCCCGTCTTGCCTTATTTCTTATCTGTACAATGTAAACATACCCTTGACATTGTTAGGATTAAATTAGAAAATGTATATAAATTTGTTAACACAGTGTCTCATATAGAATTTTTAAATGCACAAAAATGACCATATTTATTTTATTTTCCACATGTTACTTAAACTGTGGAGTAGTAGACCTGGATGCTCAAGTCAGTTCTGCCCCGAATTAACCCTGGAATCTGACGCAGAGTATTTAGCTTTTCTGTCTCACTTTCCTGACTTGAAAAGCAATATCTTGGCCAAAATTAATCTAATACCATTCTAGCTTTAAAATTTTGCAATTTTATTATCTAACTCAGAGTCATAATATAATGTGACCATAAAATGAATTTTGTTTCTTGCAGTTTGTGGGGACATCCATGGACAATTCTTTGACTTGATGAAGCTCTTTGAAGTGGGGGGATCACCTGCCAACACTCGCTACCTCTTCTTAGGGGACTATGTTGACAGAGGGTACTTCAGTATCGAAGTAAGTCCATATCATTGCTTCTTAGTAACCTAAGAATGATAAATATCTTTGCGTTAGTGGAATCTCTAGTTTATAATGATGGGCTTTAGTGCACTCAATTCATGTGAGCTAGTATGTTTCTTATTTCAGTTAATTCTCATATGATTTTTAATGCTTGGAGATGCCAAATGAATGGTTAATAGTAAGATTTTTATCTTTTATGTATTTTTCATATTTGCAAATATGGAAAAATTTATCTTATTTTATATTAGATAATTCTATTTCCCATGGAATGAAATAATCAAAGTTGATAATATAAATAGGACTCTATTTACATGATGCCTTATAGATATGAGACAAAAGTTACCTTTACGAATTGACAGCAGTGTGTGTGTGTGTGTGTGTGTGTGTTTGAGTGAGTATACTCACAGATGCTGTAGTATGTCTTTTTTTTTGGCACCTGTCACCTTACTAGAATAATTTGTCAAACTCATTAATTAAAACAAAACAGAAAAACTTTGAGATTCCCCTCCAGTTACCCTCTGCAACTGCTTTAGGGAAGTAGAAATGGCATTCAGAATAAAGACAGGACCTTTTTTGTTCATATATTTGCTGTTCTCAAGTCCCTGACACAGTGTGACATACATGTAAAGGCTCAATAGGTGTTAAAAAATGGTTTGAAATAAGAATCAATTTTAAAAAATGAGCTCATTTATACTAGCTGAAATTATATGTGCTCTCAAAAGAAAGCAATGAAAAGGAAAACAGTTATTGTTAATGAAGGAAATAAATCAACTTTGCAGAAGTGTCATACCAACATGATATGTTGCTTAGTATCATATAAAATATTCTATAAATTAATTTATATTATATCTTATTTACTAAAGAGATATTTAATGTCAAAAAGCATGTCACTCTCAAACAGATTTTGCTTTAAAGTTGTTTTAAAATCATACAACTTTTATGGGTTTTTTTGTTTTGATAATTCAGTTCAACTCTAGTCATTTACATACTCTCTCTTTGTATGTTAACATATATAAGCATACTATTTGATATCTCCACTTGTTAAGCAACTATTGGCACACATATAAAATGAACTATAATTGTGACCATGAAGAATTTGAATAAATATAACATCCATCCTTGCTCTCCAGAGGCCTAAATCTGCAATGGAAAATAAAACCATAAAAATCTATGTGGAATCTGAAGCCTAGAATAGGTGATCATCCAGAGTTCAGTTATTTGAATGGATTATTAAAATGTTATAATAAAGGAAGTATAGAAGCTAGATGTTCTTGTAATATAGGCAAGTGAGAGAATGCTAAGAGCATGCATAGTTGGGGAAGATGGAATCCAAGAGCAATTGAAATTTAACTTACGGATGGAAGCTGAGGTGAGCAGAAGTGCTGAGAAAGACATTACTGCATGTTTTAAACCTTGCTTTTGTTCTTAGGCTTACTTGGCCAGCCTAAATGGCACAAAGGGCAATTTAGTACAAATTTTGTTAAGACCTATGTAGCATGTCAGAGCCAATATTTGCCAGGATGACGGCAACAACTAAGTGAAACCCCTGCATTATGATAGTTTGAGCAAGATAAAAATTTATTTCTCCCTCTGAAAAAATCTTAGATGGGCAAACCAGGGCTGGTGTGGCTTCCTAGTTGCTTTGATGTGCCTTGTTCCCAAGGTGATCTATTAACCCAAGGTTACCACACCAGTTTCAACCCTCCTCTCTCCATATCACATCCAGCAAGATGGAAAAGAAAAAGAGGAATATGATGTTTTGTATATGCAAATTTTTCAAAAGTGGCCTAATCACTTGAACTCACATCCCAAGGATTCAGATTCAATAACATGGCCATAGGTGAAGCCAGTGGACAGCCAGGTTTGAGAAAGATCATGATAGGCAGAAAATAATGCGAGAAATTGGCCTTCTCCTTCTTTGTCTTACCAGCTCTGTCTGTAAATGATACTATACCATTTCTTATTCATAATGGTCTTTATTTACCTTTGACGTTTTACTTGAATGCAGGCTTCTGGATTTTAGCCTCAGGCAGGTCATTTGAAATTTCCTAAACCTTTCCTAGAGATTTTAGACCTCTGAGTTGTTTGTTTTTTTTTTTTTTTTATTAATAGAACAGATTTCATGTGTTTCATAAGTACAATTTCCAAGAAGACAATCACACTCCCCTCCCTCTCCCTCTCCTTTCCTAAATCCCCTTCCTACTGCCTTCCTTTTTCTTGCTTTAATTTTTGCAAAAACATAATTTTAATCCACTCTATAATCACAGGCTTAACGCACCACCAACCATAATAATCAACAAGTAAAAAGTAGGAAGACCACAGTTCCACAGCAGTTTGAACAAAGGCTAAAAACAACAATCAAATCACAAGATGTCCATTTCATTTTTATACTTTTTTTTGTATTTTATATTAACTACCACATATCAGAGAAAACACATGTAATTGGTATTTTGGGGACTGACGTGTTTCACTAAGTGTAATTGTTTCCAGTTGCATCTATTTTATTGCAAAAGACAGAATTTCATTCTTTTCTGGCTGGGTAGTGTTCCATAATGTATGTAGACTACATTTTTTTTTTTTTTTTTGACAGGCAGAGTTAGAGAGAGAGAGACAGAGAGAAAGGTCTTCCTTTTTCCTTTGGTTCACCCCCCAAGTGGCCACTACAGTGCGCAGTGCGCCAGCCGCATTGCGCCAATCTGAAGCCAGGAGCCAGGTATTCCTACTGGTCTCCCATGCGGGTGCCAGGAGCAAGAACCTGGGCCATCCTCTACTGCACTCCCAGGCCACAGCAGAGACCTGGACTGGAAGAGGAGCAACCAGGACAGAATCCGGCGCCCCGACCAGGCGCCGCAGGTGGAGGATTAGCCTAGTGAGCCATGGTGCTGGCCCACTACATTTTCTTAATCCAGTCATCAGTTGATAGACATCTGGGTTTATTCCATAAGTTTGCTATTGTGAATTGAACTGCAGTAGACAAGGGGATGCAGATAACTCTTTTGTATACTGATTTAATTTCGTTTGAGAAAATTCCCAGAAAAGGCATGGCTGGTTCATATGGTAGGTGTATTTTCAGATTTCTGAGGAATCTCTACTGTCTTCCATAATGGTTGTACCAGTTTACTTTCCAACTAACAGTGGACTAGGGTACATTTTCCCCCACATCCTCACCAGCATTTGTTGTTTTTTGATGTATCTGTGTATGATAGCCATTCTAACTGGGGTGAGGTGAAACTTCATTGTGGTTTTGATTTGCATTTCCCTGATAGCTAGTGATCCTGAACATTTTTCATGTTTCTGTTGGCCAGTTGAATTTTATCCTTTGAAAAATGTGAACTCTGTTTCTTTATAGAACAGGAAATGCAGAAATCACTACCTTATTCCTTGCCAGGGTTTTTTTTTTAAGTCCACAGTTATTATAGATATTTGTATTATGAAAGTTACGATATTTTGTATAATAAGCTCCTTTTGAAATCCAAGCAAAGGATCAAAGATAAAAGAATCACAATATGTTGATGATATATCAATGTACATATCAGAGGACATTTAAAAGTTCTGAGATGCATACATCAAAGTCACCACATTTAAAAATAACTCTTTCATTAAATTCCAAGATTCTGAGAGAACAACCCTAGGAACTTGCTGCATATATACAAAAGTGACAAAATGTCTCATACATAATTGATCCATTTTTATTACACTGTGACTTTTGAGGGGCTCAGCGACATTGTTGTATTTTATAGAGACATTTGTATAAAATACACTTCCTGGGAAGCCCTTGAGAATGTTTATTATGGATTGAGGAGGCTGATGTTGTTTGCATGCTGTGAACGCCATTGTTTGCATGGTAGAGATTATCTCATTTGTTCCTCAACTCTGGAAGGAACACTGTAAACCCCTTCCTTTTAGAGGTGTGGAAAGCAAGGCTCAGAAAGGGTCACACACATAGTGAATAGGTGCTGGGGTTCAAAGCCGTGCTCTTTCCATTACCTCAGCAACCCTGCAGGTATGCACAACCCATGTTCCTTAGATGTATCAAGAAGTGCTGCCAGAAATGCACGTCAGTAATGTAAAAATTGAGACGTGCTGTTACATTCACCCATGCATGTAGTCACACACAGCCATCTCCCCACCTGTGTTATCCGAAGTTCAAAGCATTGAATATAAAAAATGCTCTGTGAGTAAAATACTGCCGATTTAAAAAAATCCTAAAATAAGGGCTCAATTTTCCAGCAGGTTTTATCCTACCAGGTTTCCAAAAATTCTTGATTCATTTCAATAATTCACAGCTCCACTGCTGGTATTCTCCTTCAGCTATCCTCTGGGCAAAGGGGAGCACTTAAGTTTAATTTTTACCAAATCACCTTTGAAGACTAGGTTTGGATTTCTAATAGAGTCTGGTGGGTGTATTTACAGGCAGTAGGTAATGTGCTCTGGGCAGTACATAGAACCCATTTTATGCACCCTCCCCACTCCCTCCAATCATCTTTTTTTGCCAAGATCAGAAATCATTTCCTACACAGTTAGCCCCAGTGAAACAAGCAGGCTTTTGAGTAATGATGAAAGAGGTAGTCTTGCCTTGAGTAATAATTTGTCTTACACTAAATACTCCTCTTTCGATGACCGCATTGCGCTCACTACCTGATCTCTTTGATCCAGCATATGTGTATGTATGTCCATGACTGAGTGTGTGTCTCCATGAAGACAGAAACAGAACCGCAGACAAGCATGCATAGCTGTTTGTTTCTATTTCATTCCTCCAGCTGTCTCTCTGGCCATTCACTATTACGCTCACTTACATCCATATCTCACCTCAGGCCTCAAGCTCGTTTAAGTGTGAAGAGTTGTCCTGTTTATTAGCTGTGAACTCATACAACAAAATGAACCACGACAAGTCAGCCAGTGCCCGGTGCTGCTGCCTGAGAATCATAAGCAGGCAGTACAGCAAGCAGTGTTAGGTGACAGAATAGTGCCATAAACACGAGGAAGAAATTGGCTGTCCGCGTGCGTGTAGCCAGTTGTCTTTACCATGCGTTGCTATTGCACTGCTGCCTCTCTGCATGCTTGTCAGACCAGGCAAATGATGTCTTCCAGGAGCTGCATTTGACATTTCAGGCATTTGGCTCTGCTCCCAACCAATGCACAGCCTTCATTTAATTGTCCAGTGATTGACAGGCAGCACTTTGGATGGCGATTTCACAGCACAGGTAGTTCTACTTCAAAGAGCTGATTGATATAATGCTAATGTGGTAGTTTCTTTTCTTTCTTAACTTCTTTCTGTCATATTTTAATATCCTTTACTGGGAATAAATTAAATTAAATTAAAAGTATTAATTGATTAAGTATTAAATTAAATTAAAAATATAAGTCACATTGTAAATCATTGCACCCCCTATCCGTAAACTGATGAAGAAAATGATATCCTTAATGCCGCTTTATTGGAGAAGGCTGCTACATAGAAGAAAGCTCTGTGACAAAAATGCAGATTTATAGAGGATGCTAAATCTTTCCTATTAAGGAAAGGAACTGACTTTAAATTGTCAATAGTCCTGTAATTAAGAGGAAAAGATGGAAAGACAGTGGTGGGTGGAGTTGGTGGAAGTGATTAGTGCCGCTCATTGACATCTCGCTGTGCAGAGAGGCCCCTGTAACAGTGCTGCATCTCTACCTTAACCAGTGAAGTCGGAGAACATTTGCTTCTAATTAGCCATCTGACACCAGATGGGCAGAGATAACTCATTATTTAACCTTATTCTGACTTCACCGCTCTGTTGATTATAAATTTTCTTTTTACCATAGACTTTACTTTTTTTTTCTTTAATATCAGGTTATAATTTTCCCTAACATCTTCAGCTCACCAGAATGTTAGGACTATAGATGGCAAGATCGTTGCCAGCAACACAGCGTTGTGCTTGGCAGCTCTGTCCCACCAGATGTTGAGGGTGAAGCTGGCAGGCTTGCCGCTGCCGTCCACGCCTGCCCTCTCCTTTACCATGCCACTGCTTCCGTAGTGGTTGCATTTGTGGTGTTCTTTGGTGTTTGGGAAGATATTTTATTCTTACCACAGGGGAGAAGGAAATAAAATGTGAAAACCGGACTCATATTTTTAGGATATTTTGAGCCAAGAATTTAGAAGTTCAGGATTTTTTTTTTTTTGCCTGCTTTGTTGCTTGCTGGCTTTACTGTCTTGCTTTCTTTCTCATTCTCCGTTCTTCATTCCCACCTCCTTCTCTCCCTCCTTTCTTTTCTTAGTTCCTTCCTTTCTTTTATAGAAAGGAGCTAATGTTTCCTAAATGCATATGCTAGATGTTTCACATCCAGTAAATAACAAGGGAAATCAAGTGTATATTACATTATTTAAAATATGTAAATAGATACATAGGAATATTTAGCATCATTTTTTGAGGCTTTGGTTATGAAACAGCCTCAGTAAAACTGGAGTTAATACAGCCACATACTGAATGTCAGTAGAAAATCTTTAACACAAAATACAAAGTGATTCCTCTGGTAGTGTTTGAGTGGGGTTAAAATGAAGTTTATGTTTTAGTTGGAGAGTTATTTACTTTAAAATAAATTGTTACAGGCTAACCTGATCTAGAGAGATCAGAGTTGTGATTGTCTTTCGAGAGGGAGATATTAATTGGAAGGGAGCAAAGGGAGCCTGCGGGTGCTACAGTGTAACTGAATGTGGGCAGTAGCTACATAGGAGTACACAATTATAAAAAACTACTGACCTGTAATTTAAAAATGTGCACCTCACTGATATAAATTATACTGTTAGTGAAATAAACCTTACAAGAAAGTAGCTACAGTACAGCCAAAAACATATATCAATTCTCTCCCCCAAAATATAAATAAAATGCATTAAATATATTAATTTCAGCAATTATACTTTAAAAGATTTCATATACTCATTCATATTAGACATTCTGAGTTTGCAAATTTGGGAAATTATATATATATATATATATATATATACAAGTATATATACTCATATTAGTATCAGATGGTACAGCAATATGTTTTGAATTGCCCACAGGTCTACCATCATCATATCTCCTCTGAAATGTTAGACAGCCCTGAGTAATGTGGACTCCTTTTATTAAAACACATACCTGTAGCTATAAAAGTCAGTGCAGACAGAGTGCAGTGGAGGATGGCCCAAGTGCTTGGGCCCTGTACCCCATGGGAGACCAGGAGAAGCACCTGGCTCCTGGTTTCGGATCAGCGCAGTGCGCCGGCTACAGTGCGCCGGCCGCGGCGGCCATTGGAGGGTGAACCAACGGCAAAGGAAGACCTTTCTCTCTGTCTCTCTCTCTCACTGTCCACTCTGCCTGTCAAAAAAAAAAAAAAAAAGTCAGTGCAGAGCAGTGAGACATTCTTTGAGCCACTGACTACCCACTGAGATAACAAGAGAACCTTACACATACCAGTATATGATGGTCCTTCAGCCGTCACTGTTCAGGCTACCTGGCCAATCTTTCAGAAATACGTACACCACTATTCATCTGAATTTGAACTAATCATGTAACGAAATTATAATTAAATATTAATCATAGTAATATTTTATAATCTAATGTCAACCTGTTGTGTTGGCTGTCTTAAATCATAATTACATTGTTGGAGATGGTATTTTGTTGGAACAATACAATATATGCTTTTTCTGATAAGTGGTATTTTCTACTGACTGATGATTATTCACAAGCAGCACAGCAAACAAGTTGCCAGCAGCTTTTACTTCCACATGTTGGAAAGCTGATTCTTAAAGTCTAAATATTGTGTGATTTTTGGTTTTAGATTTTAGTAACTAGAATCAGACTTGTGTCAGTTGTGGATCCATACAATCCTAGTTTCACTTTTAGGACACTAATTTTATGAGGCTAAAATGCATACCTGTTTTTCAAAGCATAGTTTACTGTTCCCTATGTATTCTTAATGAATGCCGAGAATAATGAAATGGATATTAATACTTGATTATTTTAGTTTATCTTAACATTTATTCCAGGAGGGATGTGGCAATATGGGTTTACTCTGGACCTGGTGAATGCATAGTTAGCCCTCATTCCACACAAACTTTGGTGTACAGGTAGAGTTTTAGGTTTGGAAGAGTTTTAGAGAATTTTAGAGTTTTAGGTTTGGAGAGTTTTAGGTTTGTGAAAGGTTTTCTCAAGCTATCAGCAGTAAGTTTAGTAAGATTGCTTGGCCTTCAATTTAATTAAATTTATATGTAAAATAAAAGCTTAAGATTTTATATACCAGAGACACTGAGTGAAAGATGCAATGATGGGGAAAAGGCTGGGAGTACGCGGAGAGAAAGGAGAGACGCAATCCAATTGGCCTGAGCTTTGGGGGTTTGCCTTCAATGTTTTTTTACCCTTCCTTTCTGATTCTTCCATTTCTCTTGCCTGAATTTTTTTCTTAAAAAAATCACTTTTATTTTATTATTTGTTTGAAAGGCAGAGAGAAAACTTCAGTCTTCTGGATTACTCCCCAGATGCCCACAACATCCAGATCTGAGCAGGGCTGGGCTGAGCCTAAGCCAGGAACTGGAATTGCAATCCAGATCCCCCATGTGGGTAGTAGGAACCCAATTCCTTGAGCCATCACTGTTGCCTCCCAAGGTCTGCATTAACAGGAAGCTGAAGTCAGGAGCCAGAGCTGGGTATTGAACCCAAGTTCTCCACTGTGGGGCTGGGACATCTAAACCACCAGGCCATATGCCTATCCCAATAGTTACCTCTTTAAAGAGAGTGCTTAATTTTTAACTTATGAATTATTTATTAAACATTTCTAATTATACTTTTACGTTATTATATTTTCACTTCCGGTATATTTTCATTTTAGATATCTTCCTTTTTCTTTTTCTTTTATTCTGAAATAGCCTTTCCAAGTTTCCCCAGGCCATGTAATTTTACTTTTGTTAACCATAGGTACTTCACTGTTTTCTTGTGGTCTGTGATCCTCAGTGCATGGGTATTTTAAGTGCAGATGAACCTTTGTTTTGTACTAATCATTGTTTTCTGTTTGATTATCAATATCCTCCATAGTAAGGCCTAACCTTTTTGGGATTTTTGTTCATGATAACACACATGATTCATGATATGTGAGTAGAGGAATGTATAAGAATATAATGGTTAGTAATTATATCATTTTTTATGTTTCCCAGTGTGTGCTGTATTTGTGGGCTTTGAAAATTCTTTACCCAAAAACACTGTTTTTACTTCGTGGAAATCATGAATGTAGACATCTAACAGAGTATTTCACATTTAAACAAGAATGTAAGTATATTTCATGCCTGTTCCTTTAACACTTAGTGTGCTAAGTAGTCATTTTAATTCATAAGTGCATGTTACATTATGATGCATTGTCTGAAGGTTAGTAACTTTTAAAGTGTCACTATTTCATGTTGTCCATATTTCTGACTAAGCATGGACACTTATGAGAATGCATCATTTCTTTTTAAATTACAAATTCTCTATAAAATAAATTATTATTTGGCATAATTTATGCTAAGAAGCCAGTGATTAACTTGTTTAATACAGTCAGATTACTACTATTGGGGACAATAAATCTATGTTTTCATCTCATATCACTCAAGAGAAGCAAATGGAGAGTAGCAAATGAACTCTCCCTCTATTTTTGGACACCAATAGATTAGAGCCACTAGTGTATTTTACAAAGGGAAAATGACTTCTTCCTTAGATCGTAGAAGTGGGGAATACTTGGTATAAATGTCACTTACCTCCTCTTAATTTTCCCTGTTGTCCACGGAAATTTGTTTCCCTGTAATTGAGTCCTGTTTTCAATGAAGCATTAATTTCTTCTCTTAAAACATTTGATATAAATCGATAAAAGAAAAGCACTAGGCTGTGAGCTAAAAGCAACTCAAGAGATTTCCTACCATCTTTCTTAAAGTCACTAAGAACTACTGACTAGATTTTTGTCCATCTTTCTGTTGATCTCATTATCAGTATCTTTTAGTTTTGTGCTGTATCTGTAGATAAACAGCCAGAAGATATAAAAAAATTCTCTCATTCGCTATACAAAAAGTTATGAGAAAATGTGAAATATGGGTAGATGACAAAAACAAACAACATTGGATATAGAAACTAATATGCAAATCATTAAAGTGTTATTTGGTTATGTTTTGGAAGTTTGCAATGTGTAGTTTTATGCTAATAATAAAATGCTTGGTAAGAAAACATAAAAAAAATTTAGTGAAATGATCTTAGCTGTGAAATGATAAAGTAAATATTTGCTTTCTATTGTGCTTTAAAAGGTAAAATAAAGTATTCAGAACGTGTCTATGATGCCTGTATGGATGCCTTTGACTGCCTTCCCCTGGCTGCCCTGATGAACCAACAGTTTCTGTGTGTACATGGTGGCTTGTCTCCAGAGATTAACACCTTAGATGATATCAGAAAAGTAAGTTCTGTAATCTTCCAGGTCTCATCATTTGGTGTGCTTCAGTAATAAGTAGAAGACATAATACCCTGCCTTTATCACTAACTTTATGTTTTTGAATTAAAATGATTGAAGTAACCATAAATCTCTTCTCTGTGTTAAATTTTTACCTGGGAAGGAAGATATATTTATACTTTTCTTCTCTAACACCTTAGGATTCATGGTACCATATGACATGTTATTGGAAATATAAAATATTTGGTCTCTAAAAATCATGCCTTTTATTTCCATTGGCTTTTCCAAGCAATCCATTGTATATCCATAATATATCATCTCAAAAATGTTGCTTTGCCCTTGGGAAAAATACCATAACTTGACCCTTAAAAATGTGTCCATATTATGCTTTTTGCAGTGGAGGATGGCCCAAGTGCTTGGGCCCTGCACCCCATGGGAGACCAGGATAAGTACGTGGCTCCTGCCATCGGATCAGCGCGGTGCGCTGGCCGTGGCGGCCATTGGAGGGTGAACCAACGGCAAAGGAAGACCTTTCTCTCTGTCTCTCTCTCTCACTGTCCACTCTGCCTGTCAAAAAAAAAAAAATGTATTCATTACAGCTCAAAACTTTTAAGTGACAGTCTAAAAAGGAAATTATGTTAAGCTATTGATTGTATTGAGTGCCTAGGTGAAAAACAGTTTATGGGTTTTTGTTTGTTTTTTTTTTTTAAGATTTATTGTATTTATTTGAAAGACAGAGTTACACAGAGAGGTAGAGACAGAGAGAGAGGTCTTCCATCTGCTGGTTTACTCCCTAAATGGCCACAACGGCCTGAACTGCACAGATCCAAAACCAGGAGCCAGGAGCTTCTTCTAGGTCTCCCATGTGGGTGCAGGGGCCCAGGGGCTTGGACCATATTGTACTGCTTTCCCAGGGCATAACAGAGAGCTGGATCAGAAGTGGAACAGCCAGGTCTCGAACTAGAACCCATATGGGATACTGGCGCTTCAGGTCAGGGCTTTAACCCCCTGCACTACAGTGCCGGCCCCCAGTTTATGTTTTAAAAAGCGTTTTTCTACCTAAATTGTCATTGGCTGTTTCTGTTGTACCAGCAAAAAGGTAAGTGAATTAGATTGGCTATAGAAGTGAATTTTTTAAAAAAAATTAGAAAAATGTAGGATATATAGGATAGTTTCCTGTAGTACAAGTGATAATGTTTTATTTCCTTATTTATGTTGATAATCGATCAGTACAACAATGTAAAGAAAAACATGAGCAAACAGGGTAATAAAAAGGTCCACATATTTTCCTTGGTGTGAAAATCCCCAAAGAGATTCATCTTTGTACATGTTTTCTCAAGTTATCTTAAAATAATATCATTGGAATTATTTTAAAATATGATAATTTGTTCACATTAATGTTTATAACAGTTTCATGAAATTGTTAGTGTTCACCACCTACATATTGCTCTTTGAAATTTGAAATAAAGTTTTTGTCTATAATTGGAAACTGTTTGAAAGCTAGATGTTATAGGACCTTCTTTACTCCACTTTTAGAGTAGAAAATATGCTTTAATGTATCCCAAAGAGAAGAAACATGGACATGATTATAGCTTTTGTTATCACTTTTGCCAGTACTTTTAGCAATAAATTGGTCACATTATTCTAAATTAATTCATTTGAAATATGAAACCCAAGATTTTCCTGAGTTTTAGTATAAAGCTACATACTATTTAATATTTACTCATTTAAGTCTAATGTATTATAAATGGATAGACTTCAAAAAAATCATGCAAGCCGGCGCCGTGGCTCAATAGGCTAATCCTCCACCTTGCGGCGCCGGCACACCGGGTTCTAGTCCCGGTTGGGGCGCCGGATTCTGTCCCGGTTGCCCCTCTTCCAGGCCAGCTCTCTGCTATGGCCAGGGAGTGCAGTGGAGGATGGCCCAGGTGCTTGGGCCCTGCACCCCATGGGAGACCAGGAAAAGCACCTGGATCCTGGCTCCTGCCATCGGATCAGCGCGGTGCGCCGGCTGCAGCGGCGGCCATTGGAGGGTGATCCAACGGCAAAGGAAGACCTTTCTCTCTGTCTCTCTCTCTCTCACTGTCCACTCTGCCTGTCAAAAATAAAAAAAAAAATAAAAAAAAAAATAAAAAAAAAATCATGCACTAATCTCAATGAGTACAGAATTTATTAGAAAAGTACAGGAAGTCTTAGGAATAATCATGGACACAATTTACATTCTGGCTATTGCTTATTAAGAACCATTCTTATGAAGAACCCCTTGGTCTCACTTCTCTAAGTGACTGCCAATGAATTGTTTTTCCATTTGACTTTGAACACAGTACTGCTACGTCCTAAGAATCTATATGTTGAACCTTGTATAAGTTTATTTTGTCAGCTGCCTTGAGTTATTAGTAGTATTTTTCCATTGTGTTCAGTGGAGAAGAAAATCAAATAGTTTATCTGTTCAGTATCCATGAATCATAATAGTAATCTGCTAACAACTTACCACAGTGGTTAGGGAAAATAGAATATGTATAAGTGTAAATAATTGAAGTTACTTCATTTATAAAATGTTGAGCATCAAGGACATGCATTTATGTTTTGTTCTTTTGTCTTGATCTAGTTTTATGGGTTTGGATGGAATGAGAAACTTAGCAAGTATCATCATTAAAAAGAGGATTAGTGAATAACTCACTCAAAATGCACTTTCATAAAGTTCTGTACTGCAGAGAATTAATAGAAAAGATAGGGCCATCATCTTCAAAAAATTCTATAAATGATTACCACAAAATGAGTAACCATTTTATGTGCTATGGATCAGTTTTGTTTCTATAATATTTTTTTCTTGACAGAAACTTTAAAATGCTAAGGAAATAATTAAATCTTGAATATCTATACACTATCATGAATCTCTACTACCAGGAACTTTGTATTCTTCTAAAAGTTCATTTGTTTTTAGAGAAAAAGTGGTATTTACAATAGTAAAACTCCGAAGCTGTAGTTACCAGGTATAAAAATATGAGGTACAACCGCTTGGGCCATCACCTGCTGCCTTGCAAGGTGTGCACTTTCAGGAAGCCGGGATGGGGAGTAGAGTCACAGCAGGAGCTCAGACACTCTGATATGAATGCGGACATCCTATGTGGCAGCTTTAACCACCGCACCAAACATCTGCCTCAAAAGTGGATTCACAATGGTGATTTTGGAAGCAAGTCTTTAGCCTAGCTGTTAAGATGCCTCTGACCCTTACCAAAGTGCTTACATTCTATTCCCAACTCTAGCTACAATTCCAGCTTCCTGACAGTGCAGACTGTGGGAAGCAGTGGTGATGTCCCAAAGCAATTGGGTTCCTACGCCCCATGTAGCATACCTAGATTGCATTTTCAGCTCCAGACCTGGCCAAGCCCCAGCCTTTGGGAGCATTTGTGAAGTGAACCAGTGGATAGCAGCTCTGTATGTGGCTTCTTTCTCTTGCTCGCACTCTCTCGTTTGCTCTCTCTCTTGCTCTTGCCCTAGCCCTCTCCCTCTCCCTTCCCTTGCTTTCTCTGCCTGCCAAATAAATAAAATTTTAAAATCCATGCATAATTTTTTAAGATTTATTTATTTATTTATTTATTTATTTGAAAGTCAGAGTCACAGAGAGAGGAGAGGCAGAGAAAGAGAGAGAGAGAGGTCTTCCGTCCGATGGTTCATTCCCCAATTGGCCGCAATGGCTGGAACTCTGCCGATCCGAAGCCAGGAGCCAGGAGCTTCTTCCAGGTCTCCCACAAGGGTGCAGGAACCCAAGGATTTGGGCCATCCTCTACTGCTCTCCCATGCCACAGCAGAGAGCTGGGTGGGAAGTGGAGCAGCCGGGTCTCGAACGGCCACCCATATGGGATGCTGTCACTTCAGGCCAGGGCATTAACCTGCTGTGCCACAGCATACTTTTTTCATAATACCAGTGTTCCACAGACTTTTAGAATACCACATATATGCATGGATTTCAAAAAATTTTGTACCAAAATGAAATTATCATTTAATTCCATTTCTATGAACTTTTCGGAATACCCTTATAATATGTTGTTTACTTCCTTTTTAGAAAATAAATGCATGATTTTTATTTTAAAAATCAAAAGTACGTTAATATCTATTTGTTTCTTACTCTGTGTGTTTGTGTCCTTTTTGTAGGACTCTTACACATTTGTGTTTTTTAGTACACAAAGCTTTGGTCTTTGCCCTCTGTATAAAGTACTGTAAAGATCTGATCCTGAAATTTAGTCATTGAATTCAAGTATGCAAGGCTTCTTTCTGCATTAATGCAACCAATTAAATCTTCTGCAATATCTCTTTTGAATAACTAAATATTTGATGATGAATTAAGAAAATATTTTATTTCATTCATTTATTTTTAAAGATTTATTTTATTTTCTTGAAAGGGAAATCCCCATACAAAGTAAGGGAGATACAGGGGAGGGAGAGGAGAGAGAGAACACACGTGAGACTGTTTCCATCTGCTTGTTCACTCTTCAAGTGGCTGCATTGGGTAGCACTAGGCCTGGCCAAAGCCAGGAACCTGGAACTCCATCTGGGTCTCCCATGTGGGTACAGATCCTATGGACTTTGGCCATCTTCACTGTTTTCCCAGTCCATTAGCAGGGAGCTGTATTAGAACTGGAACAGCTGGGACTTGAATTGGTGCCTATATGGGATGCCAGCATTTCAGGTGGTGGCTTAACCTACTGAGTCACAATGCCAGTCCCTAAGAAAATAGTTTAAATATCACCTGCTGTCTGTCCCCAGGATTGACTTTTTGGCATGGTTCAGATATCATGTTCAATTCTCATATGTATCATTAAACTCTACACTTAGGTATAAAATGATTTTTAGGTTTGTATTCTGCCGTTTGTCAACAGGAATATCAACCACAGTTACTTTATTTGATAAATTTTGCATTTGTTTATTTTTACTGTGGGTGGTATTAACTTTTAGTACATGTATCATAATTTTTCTAGAATAAATTCTGTATTTTGGGTGCTTTGCCAGACCCTGAGTTGAGGATATGTATAATCGCAGTGCCTTTCTCTCCTCTGTTATAGTACTCCCAATAATAATTTTTTAGTTATTAAAGAATTCTGTATTTTATAGACAAGCATTATTTTTTGGATAAATCATTTCAAAAACATAAATTACGGAGCTGGCGCCAGCCAAGCTCACTTGGTTAATCCTCCTGCGGTGCCAGCTTCCCACATGGGCGCCGCGATCTAGTCCGGGTTGCTCCTCTTCCAGTCCAGCTCTCTGCTGTGGCCCAGGAAGGCAGTGGAGGATGGCCCAAGTGCTTGGGCCCTGTACCCTCATGGGAGACCAGGAGGAAGCACCTGGCTCCTGGCTTTGGATTGGTGCAGCGCACTGGCCGTAGCAGCCATTTGTGGGGTGAACCAATGGAAGGAAGACCTTTCTTTCTGTCTCTCTCTCTCTCACTGTCTAACTCTGCCTTTAAAAATAAAAAAAAATTAGTTAAATCTCTTAAATTTAGGCTTATACTGGATATTTTATGGAAAGTATGATGTAGAAATAGAGAGGGTCTGTTCTTACTGAAGCTTTTCAGTGGGTATTATAAAATGTGATATATTGCTTCATTGTCTACATGACTCATAACACATAGTGGTGTAGCATAATCATTACTTACATCATCTTGTATGTCTCAGGAAAAATAGAGAATCTGATTGTTTTCCAGCTTAATATATTCACCCGCTTCTACTGGATTTTCCAAAGAAATAATAATTTGAACAGATAGAAAAGTTTATTCTGATTTGAAAAAATTATTGTTCTACTAAACATCACATAATAACTTATAACTGTGTACATTTTTAGATTCAGTTAACAATAAAAACTAAAAACATACAAATATTGAATATAAAGCATATTTGTTCTTTATATTTTAAGATACCTCATGTCTTTTTTCCTGGAGGCACTATAATATTCATTGAAGATCCTTTAATTAATTACAATTAAATTAAAATTAAGTTTCAGTGTTACAAAATTACTGGTGAAATTTTACTTCTAGTATTATATTGCTCGCTTCATCTAAATGCAGTTTTTGACATTGAGATATGATTTTTCTAAACACTCAGAGCTAGAAAATAGATTTCACATGAATACTTCTGGTAAAGTATAAAAACTTAAAATGATGAGTTGAAGAATGACCTGCAGAATTTGGAGTTATTTTACTGCTTATCATTACTCATATCTAGTAAGATCAACTACAGTAAATGTGAATTTTAATTAGTTATGTAGATAGCCCCTAATGAATGAATATCCGGAATGTCAAATAGCAAGTGAAATCCACCTGTTCTCAAATCATATTGTTAAATATTAAAACGATAAAGTACCCCTCATTCAGACCTCTATGTCGTGGTTCAGTGGAGGCAGAGGTAGGGATCTCCGCAGAGAGAAACAGAAGTATTTCCTCCACAGGTAAAGCAGAGGTAGAGACAGTTTAGGCGGTAATGGCTGAAACAATTTAATAGATGAAATAAGAAGATAAAAGTATTAAAGGAAAGGAAAAGAGGCGTTAAGAGTATAAGCCTTAAAGAGGCAAGAAGGAAGTAAAGGGAGGAATACAGGCAGATAATAATGAGCTCCGCAGGAAGAAGAAAAGGCAGGAGAAGTGGAGAAGGAGGAGAGGATAGAAGGATGGGTCGGGGAGGAAGGAAGGAGAGAATGCGAGAGTCAGGTTCACCCAGGACTCTGCAGGGCACACTGCACAGTGCTGGTTTCTTCTATGTTCTGAATTCCAAGTATTTTGCTCTCTGTCTTCTATTTTTCTTAGTTAGACCGATTCAAAGAACCACCTGCTTATGGACCGATGTGTGACATCCTGTGGTCAGACCCCCTGGAGGATTTTGGAAACGAGAAGACTCAGGAACACTTCACTCACAACACAGTCCGAGGGTGTTCGTACTTCTACAGGTGAGAGTGGGGCACTTCCAGAACATTTTTCCTTGAATTTCTCAGTCCACGTCTTTGATTTATTTATGATGTTTGGGTTACTTCTTTAGGAAACAAGGAAACATGGCAGATTCCCTTTTAAAGTCTGGTGAAAAGGGTTCTGAGCACTTGTGAAATGAAAATATAAATAAATAAGTAAGGGAATAAATATCTGAAATGTAAGTGTGTGTGTGTGTGTGTGTGTATATATATATATATGATATATATATATATATATACCATAAAAGGTATAGGAAGTTATGTGATGTGAGGGTAGAGATGCTGCTAAAGAAGGTAGAAAATTTGTTCTATTTCATGAACCATAAGAAAAGAAAGCCAATGCCAGCCTTGATTTTTCATTCAACTGTGAAATCTTATTTAAAATATTTACCAGTTTTCATAGCTTAAATTAGGAAAGAACCTTTATATTAGCTTATTAGATTATATTCAGATCATCCCTATAGTTTATTTTTAAGTGTTGGGCTTCCAGGATAAGCTAAAATTAGCAGCTACTAGGTACACAGGTACCTTTTTAGCACCTTGAAATCAGCCAAGTTGAAAATACTTGAATTTTTACACTTGCAGACCCCTGGAGATTTTCCCATTCCATAACATTTCAGAGCATTTCAGACAGGAATCTGTGACACAGTTGGGATTTTGCATGTCCACACTGTTTTCATGACCTGCCACCCGAGTTGTAGCCTGCTGTATCTGATATGCTCAGTTTCACTGCATTCCTTATTGTTAAACACACAGCTTTTGTGAAAGTTGCCAGTGGCAAAGATGTTATGAATAAGTTGAGAATTTTAAATCTTAGCATGCATAGTGTTTTTCCCTTAAAAAAATTACTAAAAACCAAACTTGATGTTTCTTGAAGTTACTGCTCAATTCCAGTCCCAGCAGCTAAGCTATGTAAAGGCTGGAAAAAAATCAGTAAAACACATCCAGCTACCTCTCTTCTGTCTGTCGAGTAAGCAGGTAGCATCCTGTATGGTACTGATCAGATGTCTGTTCAGCAGCACAACATTTTATTGCACTTACTAAGTTTTCCTTATGGGGAAAAGGAAGCTGCCTTTTTTTCCTATCTCCTGATGTGATTGAGAACAGAAAATCTCATACACTATAAAGCACCAAAAAATAGTTTTTATTCTAAATATTAACAAATAAGATTGTTCTTGATGCATCTATTAGAAAGTGTATAGTATACTTCTGTTTTGGAAGATTGGGCACCAAGTCTGATGAATGTGTTTTGTATGAAATGATGAAGCATGATCTACTATTTCTGAAAAGCCCAAGATTTCTTTTCAGTTATTATTTAATTTAGCAATAATCTTTCATTAAAGGTGTTCGAATTTTTAGTGAAAAGTTAATTACTGTTGAGGTATATTAAAGCCAAGTGTTCAGTTTCCCAAATCTGATCTTAAATCCCTCATCATACCTAAGGTGTGATGGGCTTATTTTACTAACGTGCTTGTAATATCAAACAAAATCCAAACTCTTGGTTTCAATAAAGTCTCTCAACTGGGTTATTAGAGGATTAAGCACGTTTTCACACTTTCATTCTCAAGAAAATGATGATTAAACTTTCCTCATTAAGGTTCAATAGGTAATGATCGTTAGTCATGACATACAGTTTTTTGTGTGAAACTGAATATGTAAATTCACAGACTGCATTTCGACTAATGGCAAAGAAGTCTGTTTGTCCAAGGAAGAGGAAAAGGTGAGAAACTTAGTGGCAATTACCAATTTGAGTTATTGGCAGTTATTTCGAACCGCAACACCCAGTCTTATTTTACATGTTTTATCTGGTTTATAGCCACTCAGTCAACAATCTGCTATGTTTTCTGATCCATGCTTTAAATAAAATGAAGTTATTCAGAAAAATACATCAGTAAAAAAAAAATTTAATGCTGTCCATGAGCTATATTAAATAGGAAATGTGACAGAGGGGAAAGAATCCAAAAGGATTCTGTTTCTGTCCCAATGCCAGCAATGTATTTGTAAAGTGAGACTAGAGTTAGCACACTCAAATGCCTGTCACATTCAGGCAGGTAACTGAGATACTAGAAAGAGGCCAACTGTTGGGTTGTAAAGATGAGTGAAGATCGTGACATATTGGAGGTAACATTTTCATTTTTATGTAGACCAGAGAATACTATCAGCTGGATTAAGTGCTAAGGCTGTCAGTTTGTATCTCTGCCTCCAAAGAATCATGCAAACTTTGTGTTCTGGGTTTACCTAGCTTCATAATGAGTCACTTGAAGTAGGTATTCCCAAGTTTCTTCTTAAGATCTGAGGAACACCTTGACAGTCATTTTTAATTAACTTATTTTTTTAAGCTGCAGCTTCCATTTTGCAGTTTACTAAAATCACTGCTGGCCTCTATATCACCAGTCTGTATCTTTCTCCTCTTCAGGTGTCACCAGCCAAGTTGTCTGCAGCAGTTGACATTCTTGGCAGCTCCTGCCATCCTGAAGTTCTCCGGTGCCTCCTTTTTCACCTGATTCTCCCCTAGTTCATCAGGCAGACTCTGCTTCTTCTGCTGCCACAACCTTTCACTTGTCCACTTGTTGGTCCCTCACCAGAAACTAGAAACTCTGGTTTGATCACTGAATCTATATGCAGCCCCTTCTCCTCACTTTTCCTGAGCTGAAATGCTTGCACTTTTTATCTAGGCTTCCATTTGCATCTTAATCTAAAGTCTGCCTTCCCAGAAAAGGTTGACTGTTTGCTTCCATCCCAGTTTTTCTGGTTTTGTTACACTTCGTCTCCCAGTCAAGCAAATTAGCAAGTATCTTCCCTTCTTCTTCTTGCATTGCAGTTACCACCACTCAGTCATCACATCTTATTGACTCTTTGTAAAATTACCAGCATCTAAACCACCCTGTCTTCCCTCACTTCCACTCTGTTTTCAAAAGCTTCATTTTTAATCTATTTAAAATCCACTGAGTTCCCTGTTCCCAATTTGTTTGTGTCCTTCATCCCTCTCCTCCTCAGTTCATACTGTCCATTCATGGGTATCCTTTTGGAGAATCCACTCATTGAACTATTTAACAAACATTAGTTGAGGGCTGATTGTGTATGTCCTGTTCTAGGTTTTGTAGGAACCTGGAGGCCCTGCCTTCAGGTAGCATAGAGTAATGAATAGAAACACACAACAAAAATGCAAGTGAATAGTACTGTGAGACATGTACAGGCTCTTATACACACACACACTCACAAACACACACACACATATTCCTGCACACACAGGAAGTGGGGGCCCTAACCCAAACTGGGGATGGACTGGGGCTAAGGGGACCACTCTGCCAGCTTTTTTTCAGAACTGAGTTTTAAAAGACCAGAACATCACAAGCAGTGTGATTAGGGGAGGTCCTTGCCAGCACGGAAAATGACATTCTTGAAAATATGACATGATGTAAAACTCCTTGGAATTCTGCAAAGATGGCCATCCGAATGATCCAACCTCTCCTCTACCCCAAATCACATTCAGCTGCTCTGTTACTACCAAAGCTGAACATTAGGAAGCTGCTCTACTCTTATTTTTCTATGCAATGGGATAGTATGCAAACATGCACAAAAAAAGACATGCAAGATTGCTCAAAGCAGCGGTAACCATAACAGCTAAGAAATGGAAACAGTGTCTATTTAACAGAATGAATATCTCTGAGGTTAAAACCAAGGTGCTGGTTACCTTCTGTGAGACGCTAGAAGTAAAGGAGGTGTAAGGAGTTTCTGAAGTTCAGGTGTGTGTTCTATGTCTTGATGTGAGTGTTCTATGAGCATTCACTTTGAGGGAAGTCATCCAGTTGTAATCTGGTTTGTGCCTGTTTCTGTATAGATGCTTTACTTCTGTAAAACACTGACCTTAAGTGGAAATTGTTTGCTACTCTTGAGACAGCCAACAGCTAGGTGCAAGTGAAGACACAGTTCTGGCAGGAAGAATTAGAGTCCTAACGGGTCAAACCAAATTATTTGAAATAGGCATGAAAGAAAGTCAGCAAGTCCTGGTGGGGTTTAGGGAGTAGAAATGTACCGGACAGCATCCAGGAAACCCCAGGGATTTCAGAATGAAGTACTATTGCCAGGCCCCAAGAAGCAGAGAAAGTGTTGAAGGGTCGCACAGGGTCCTCCCTATTGCCGTGCTAACCAAGGAGACAGAAGCTGCTTGCCTTGGGATTGCAGGCTGCCTGCCTCTGGCTTGTTGATGCCTATGAGGCATGCCTATGAGGAAAGGAAACTCCACAACTCTCATCTACTTGACTGCACCTGTTAAGACTACTTCGGCAATTGAGCTCAAGCTCCAGGAACCTCAGAGATAGCTACTGAGCATTTAGGATAGGAAGATGATTAGAGTGATCCTTTCTGAAGACATCGCTTACTGCTGGAGAGCAGATATATAAACAATGGACACTTCAACATGATGAGTGACATATTAGATACATATATTCTAGGACCTAAGTATATTTTAGCAATTTTGTACCCTTGGGGTAAGGTGGACTTGAATGAAAGGCATCACAGAATGTAATTTAACACGTGGCAATAGGGTAGGCCTTTCCAAAAAGTAGAAAAAAGGCATGAGGAGAACAGCTGTCAAGACACAAACGCATAGAAAAGCACTTTGATAACATGTTCTGGCTAAATCGTAGTTAAAGAATCTTAAATCTGGGAGATTTAATTAAGATGTAAAACATAGTTTATATGCTGCAGAAAAAAAGCATAAAAGAATAAACTTAGTGAATCTGATATACCTATTTGCTGTACTGCCAAGCCAGTTTTTCTACCATTTTTTGTATCTTCTGCCCCCCACCATGTTGAATTCCAATCCCTTTCTATCTACTGATCCTTTCCATCTACACACATATTATTTCCTTTTCCATCCAACACAGGACAGGTATTTTTCTAAAAGACTTCTCAAATCGGAATGCTTTCTTTATTCCCTCATAGTATCTCTGTAAAACTTGTACTGTTTTATCTTTAGGGTATTGTATTGTTCAATAGTTTAAAAATATTTTAAGTATTTATTCTGCATTCCTACCTAGATTATAAATAACTTCAGGACAAATACCATGCCATTTACTCCCAATGGCACCTCTCACTGTAGCGACAACTAACTGAGCACCAAAGGGAAAACTTGTTGAAGTGAAATGGACACTGTGAGAAACAGTGACTTGATCAGCTCTTGTCCTGACGGTTGATGTACAATGTAATACTTTATCCATTTTAGTATTTTTTTTGTTCTAGTACCATTGGTTGAACTCTGTAATTAACACACAATTATTCTTAGGTGTTTAAATTTTAACTGTAGCTAAACTGTTTTCTAACCAGTGGAACCAGTCATCATTGTGTCTGTGGTCAATGCTGGAAAATAAGTGATCTTCTAGTTCCCTCTAGATGTAAGGTGCTCAGAACTCTGCTTACACACAAACCACTGTAGTGTGTGCATGTCTAGATGAATATAATGCTTTTCAGCTTGAACAGTTTGTGGCTTACTATTATTTCCAATAAAAAGCATAAAAGTATTATTTTTCCCAAATGTTATTAAAGACTCTAAAATATCCTAGACAAGAAGTAGTTCACAAATAATGGGAATTTAGGTAATACTGTGTTTATTAAATTTATTTAAGAAAATGTTAGTAATTCTTTGAAAACTTGAGTATTTGGTTATATATGTTCTTAATATAAAGTTTTTCTCCACATTGAGTTCTTTCTGTTTAAACAATGCAAGTAATCCTCACTCACTGCTAATGATACAGCAAATTTCTACTTAGTATTATTTTTCAGATTTCCAGTAAAAACTGAGTGTATATTTCCATGGGGAAAAATTTAGCTGAAACACATATACAGGTATATTAAAAGTATGAAGACAATAATTTTAAGTTATACTTTCATAAGACTAGAATAGGTTAGTTCAATAGGGGAAAAAAGAGCAACCAAACCATTTGCCAAAGGGCAAATATCTGACAGACCTAGACAGACACCTTCTGCTTGACAGTGGTAATAAGACAATAAATGGTCTTTCATAAAGAGGCATCGCAAAGGGCTAAGAAATGTAAGGAAAGGACTCAAGCAGATGGAGAAGGAACATTCATAAAATTACTCTCTGCCAGCCCATGCTGGGCATTTTATAGTTAAATATGTGGCAAATACAAGTATGCAGTAAAGGTTCCTTTTCCTGCCGTGCGGTGACACACAATGGTCATACACTCCCCGTCTCTTTAAGTAGACTGGAAGCCTGTAGAAGACCAGTGTTGACAGCTCCCCGCCCTGCATTCCCTCTCTGGAGACTCTCGGCCGCCTATAATTTGTAAGATCACTGATGTTGCTCTGTCAGAGGCTTTATTTACTGGGTTTTTGTGCACTATGGAGCTTCTGGCTAGGCTTATTTTCAGGTTTCCCCTCTCCTCCTGAAAGAATGCAAAGGTGGAGGCATAAATATGTATAGGAAAGGAAGGTTTATCCAGAGAAAAACAAAAGTACGAAAAACCCCTCAACAAGGAAAACTATCCAACATTGAAAAACCCCTCAGCAAGGTCAGGCCTTCCCTTTATACTCTGCAGAGACTTAGGGGATGATGTCCAGGTTGGAACCCAAAAAGAGCAGAGTCAGAGGTGGGTCACAGCACCTTTTAGGAAATACAAGAATGTCATGGTGAAAAGTGCATGATGGGAGTGGGCGTGTCTCCCATGGTAATTTTATTATAATGATGTAAATGTCATAGTGGAGAGGGTGGCTACATACTGCAGGCATGTTGTATATTTCTGGTTACCAGTGGTTCCAAGTTTGCAATATTGTGGAAGGAAGGGGAAGGAGCTTGGATGGCACACAGAAAGGAACGTGGCATGCAGGCTGGGCCAAGCCATCAGATAGGCCAACCCCAGCGGTCCCCAGGAAGCCTGGCCAGAGCCTAAACCACTGATTGCTGGGAGATGTCAATCACTGCCCCATGTGGGTTGGCAGGGAGCTGTCCAGCAGCAATTCAGCTGAGGCTGTCGGATTTCAGCTCCTCTCCCTGGCCACCTGCATTCCACAACAGGTTGACCCACGACTACTAGGAAACATCTTTCTTTCACACTTTCATCCCTTTGTGATTGTATGGAAACTACAGCTGTAGGTGCTTTCTTTGCCACGGAGAAAAACCTGACCTTGGCCTCAAGAGGCTCACTTCATGAGTGATGTATGTTTGATTAAACTTGATCAGATCACGTAAGTCTGCATGTGAGAGATGAATGCACTGTTCCTGATGATTTCATAATGGATGCTTCCCTTTTCTTTTTGTCTCTGGCAGTTACCCGGCTGTATGTGAATTCTTGCAGCACAATAACTTGTTATCCATACTCCGAGCCCATGAAGCCCAAGATGCAGGGTGAGCAGTTTTGAGAATTTATGAAAACCGTGCGTTGCTGGTTTGTCAGAAATCCTTCCCTTGCTCAGGCTATGCAGATTCCCTATTGCCAGACCCACTCCTGTAGGGAATCTGATCTGCAAATCGGCTTACGAAGACACAGGTATGGCAGAATCCTTGGAAATGAGCGACTGTAGATGTGGAAAAGTCCTCTTTCAAGGTAGTTCATCATTAGCTTGAATGTGTCCATTTTCAACTTAATTGAAGCACTGTGAGGCTACTCCCTCTTCCTTCTGCATTTACATCCCACACAAGCGAATAAATTACCAGCTGCTTTGCAGTCGAGGTTGACAGTGTGATTACACATAAATATCTGGCAGATATTGCATGTTGTTCTCAAGTTTTGAGGAATGCTACCCCTGATGACTGTAAGATTTGGAAGGGGATTTAAACAAAGAGAGAAAAATCCTATTTTAAATTCCAAATGATTATATAAAATCAATTTTTTATTGTCTAATAAATTTTTAAGACACAGACTAATGTTAAGGATTTAGAAGACTAAGAAATGTCAGATATTCACTTTAATGGTTCATTATACAACATCAGGGAGAAATCAGCATAATTAAGTTAAGGATTTCAGTTCTGATACTCCTTTCCAGTAGACTCAACTGAAAGACGTTGTTTGCTTTTAAATGATTAAACTCATCCATTTCATTTTCTTGGATTTCTCAGAAGTAGGGGCATTCCTTAGTGTATCCTATGTATTGAAATCAGGAGTATATCAATATACACCTGCATTCCAAAGGAGATGCATATCCATGATGTTTCACAATGCAGGCAGATACTAAGTTCCTTTAATGACAAGTTCTTTTTAAGCAATCAGGCAACAGATATGAACTACTCTGATACTATATGTACTTGGTGTGTTGGTTGATATTTGCATAAACTTGTTGATTTACCCAATCTGTTAAGTCTTCAAATAATTTTCCCATTTTTTCAGAGCTATAGCATCATTAGGCTATTTTAACTGAGTTTCAGTAGGCTGACTGCCCTTTTTGAGCAGATTTGTCTTTGTTATTGTTGTTATTATTATTATACAAACAGACTGACTATCCTCCATCCACTAATTTTCTGCTTAAAAGCCAACAATTGCCTTAACTGAGCCAGGCCAAACCCAAGAGCCCACAACTCAATCCAGCTCTCCCTCCAGGTTGTCAGGGACTCAAGTGCTTGTGTCATCTGCTGCATTCTAGAGTGTGCATACAGCAGGATGCAGGAGCAGAACTGTAATTCAAACTCTGGTAGGGGATGCAGGTTTTTCAAACCTGCGTATTAACCATTGCACCAAATAGCAGCTGGGCCCAGATTTATCTTAATTTCACTACAAACCTGAAATTATTTGCTTACTTGAAGATATGTAGTAAATACTTCCAGGTTTTTAAGAGAATTTTTAAAAATATAAATTATAAGGTGGCTGTTTATCTATTTGAAAGTACTGCTGCTTTTAGAACTCAGCTCTTTTAGACATGGCTGGTTTCCCCGAAGTAACTGACAGAGAACACTGAAGAATTGATAAAAACACATTTTATTATTATTATTTTTTTTTTTGACAGGCAGAGTTAGACAGTGAGAGAGAGAGAGAGGAAAAAAGTCTTCCTTCCATTTGTTCACCTCCCCCCGCCCCCCAAATGGCCACTACGGCTGGCACGCTGCGCCGATCCGAAGCCAGGAGCCAGGGGCCTCCTCCTGGTCTCCCATGCGGGTGCAGGGCCCACGCACTTGGGCCATCTTCCACTGCCCTCCCGGGCTACAGCAGAGAGCTGGACTGAAAGAAGAGCAACTGGGGCAGAATCCGGCGCCCCAACTGGGACTAGAACCCGGGGTGCTAGTGCCACAGGCGGAAAATTAGCCTAGTGAGCCGCGGCACCGGCCAAGAAACACATTTTATAATGGTATTTCTAAATTGGCATTCCTAAATCTATTACAGAGAAATCTTGACATACATTTTCATGCTGATGGAAAATAGCCAGTCTCCTGTTCTTTTGATTATTTGGTAATTAAAGTGTTACATTATAAATTGGTTGTCTTAGCAAAAGAAAATTAACTGAATTATTGATTATTTCCAAATTTTTTGCAAATGTTCTGTTTCATTTCTGATTGATTAAATAGTGCCCTGCAGAGACAGTAATTTTTGAAATATAGACACCAGCAGAGACTGGTAATAAATAAAATTCTAAAATAGAAACTGTGTCAATTAGTAAAACCCATAGATCAAATTAAACATGCTTTGAAAAGAGAATCACTTATTTTTGGCAAGATGCTTATATATAAACTTTTTAGAACATTGTAGATTTATAAAATAATTGGCCTAGCTGTTAGTGGTAAGTCTTCACATTGTTTGGTCTTTTAATGTCAAAAGTATAATCACCTTCTGAAAAATACAGTGAAAATGGGGTCTCTGTGTGCAGTAATTAGCATTGTCCTCTCTGTTGAACACTTGGAAATTAACTATGGTTTAACAGTGAATTCCACCCTCCCCTGGGGCTTGCTAATAGAAGATAACTATTTGGAAATTATGTATATAATTGTGTATTTTGTCACCCCTAAAATTGTTGGACTTCGCAGAGAGCATATTTGTGTTGTAGAATTTAATACATTTAATTTTCTATTTCTAAATCTATAATATGGTGCCACCATATTTTCTGATTAGCTTTGTTTTACCTTGTATTTGCTGTTTTTAGGTATCGCATGTACAGGAAAAGCCAAACAACAGGCTTCCCTTCTCTAATCACAATTTTTTCAGCACCAAATTACTTAGATGTATACAATAACAAAGGTAAGTGTTTTTAAATCCCTTTTGCAGTCCTGTGTAATTCTCATGCTGTTATTTTGGTTTTGTCTTCAGCATTTTTAACATTCCTTTTTTTTTCCCCTTATATTTTCAGCTACTATTTGATTAAAATTTTGTGATTAATCACAGAGATACAGACTCAATAGGTCAGAGGTTGGGCACCGGCACTGGTATAATTTTTTTTTAACATTTTCTAGTACATTCTAACATACAGCGGAGTTGATAGTTGCTGCTCTGGTGGCTGAAGACTTTTAAAATATAATAATAGGAAGAAGTCAAAAATCATATTTTTTAAAAGATTTATGTATTTATTTGAAAAGCAGAGTAACAGGCAGAGACAGACAGACAGACAGACAGACTGACAGAGGGCTTCCATCTGCTGGTTCACTCCTCAAATGGCTGCAACTGCTGGAGTTGTGCTGATCCAATGCCAAGAGCCGAGAGCTTCTTCCAGGTACCCTACATGGGTGCAGGGGCCCAAGGACTTGGGCCATCCTCCGCTGCCTTCCCAGGCCATAACAGAGAGCTGGATAAGAAGAGGGGCAGCCAGTACCTGAACCAGCATCCATATGGGATGCCAGTATTGCAGGCATTCCCCCAAGACCTGCTACGCCACAGCGCCGGCCCCTGAAATTATATTTCTTAAAAACAATGTGCATCTAGATAATACTAGTGTGATTTAACATATAAAGAATCAAGAAAAATGTTCAGAAAGAAGCTGTAGCTTGAAATTGAAATTGGATTTATTGAATACCTACCATGAGTCAGCTCCTGTGTTAGGTAAACACATGATCATTTCTATAAAAAAAATGTATGAAAGTAAACTTCAAGGTAAACATCCTTAGCCACTCCCTCATCCCCATTTTTAGCATGCAGACTGAGTACCTGTGGTTAATTGCCTTGCCCAAGGCCACCCAATAAGAAAGTAATGAACCGAGGTAAAACCCACACTTTTGGTTCTGGGTCCTGCCTGTGTTTCTTTCTGTAACTCCATACCTGCAGCCAGAAAGGAACAAGGAAACCAAAGGGCATCATTTACTAACTACACGGAAAAGAAGAAGAGTAAGAGACACATTACTACTTCCTTTGATAATGATAATCTCTTTATGTGCAAATCATAGTAGCATTACAGTTGGATCCCTGTATGTAATAAAATATGAAAAAAAAAAACATTAACTCTAGTTGGAGAAATGGAGATAGAGAAAAAATAATCAAGGTCAAATACAGGCCAGAAGAGGCAGAAAAAGACAGCTTTGTTGCTGCAACTGGGTGCCTTCCCTGTATGTATGTGATGTGGTGAGTGTCTTCCTGTTCTAGCCCTGGTATCCAGGATGACTCATGCCAGCCTTGGCCACCTTTCCCTGAAGCACCTGTTGAATGTCTTAAGCCCTTCAGAGATTGTTGCCTTTGTTTCCCTCATGTATTCTCTTTCTCTATATAGTACTTTGCATGTACCCTGCTCAGAGCTAGATGCTGACCCCATGCCTTCTAGAGTGAGGAGGCATGTGAAACATGTGGAATCACAGTGCTGAAACACATGTCATCCTGATTCTTGCCTCTCTGCAGACACACTTGCTCAATCCTATGGATGGAGCATGCATCGCCCACACCCCTCTCCCCAAGTAATACCAGGAAGAAGCGTCTTCTGTAGCCACACAGTCTTCCATGAGTCATTTTGATTCTGGTGGGTCTTGCTCAGAAGCCATGAAGCCTGCGTTGGTTATAGGCACAGTGCAGTTTCTGCCCATCTAGATGTGGCAGGGGACAACCATGGTTCTCACAACACAAATGCTCCCTGTAGTAGTTTTTAGCAAGAGGAACTAGAATCCAACAAAACATGTTCTCTGCACGACATGTGCTTTTAAGGCAATTGACAAAATATAAAAATAGGAGACAATGTGATTTTTATATATATATGGGGGGGGCAGAGAGAGAGAATCAAACACTAAATACATTTGGCAAGTAATAATTTTCTAGTATTGTCAGAAGATGTGTTTTTAAACTTAAAGTATCAATTGGACATTAAAGAATGTTTGATTAGAATGAGAAAAAAATAAAGTCAAGGACAGTGATTATTTTTTCAAGTGGCAAACACTGTTTTTGTTTAAAACCAATACAAGCTAGTTTCTTTGATTGTATGACAATTCTAAACCTTGCATCAAAGAACTTCTAAGGTACTCCCAAGGAGAACAAAAACTCAGTAGGTCAGATTTGCATGTCCTATCGTGAGCCTACAATTTACCAAATGTATATCAACTATAAACACAGATTTTTGTTGTTCTGTGGTAATAGCATATTTACTATTAAACATGGGAAAGGAAGTGCCCAAAACAGTCAATTTCTTGCCCGAGATCCATTGCTAAGTGGCATATTCTATACTAATAAGGTTTTAGACAATAAAAAATGAAAACAAAAAAGAAAACTGGGACTGAGCTCCATAGGTACAGACCTAGGCCATTTCCATCCATTAACCTGTGTAGAAATGCAGTTTTGCTTGAGACCGTTAGCTGTTTCTTATGTAAAATGTGTGATATTTCTTTGTGTATAGTTCTGATTTTAAAAAGGTAGATACAAAAATCTACATCCATGCATCACTGTCTTTTTGATTTTAGTTCTTTCACTGTTTTCTCTTGTGTTGGATTCAGTCACATTCTCTCTGGATGGGGATAGAAGCATTTTATTTGGGAAACTTTTCATAAAAGGAAAAACATATCCCAAGAGAAAGACAAAATGAGTTCAAAACAGAAAGATGTATTCTTAAATTCAAACATAATTTCAAAACACTTTTGTATAAAATTTTTGAAGCACGTCAAAGCTATTGTGATAATAGCATGTACACAGTGTAGGAGTGGGAGTCAGTTATGCAGTGCTGAAGTGAGAATTACTATATTTGAATAAAATCAATGTTAACTAGAGTTTTTGAAAGCAGTGCAGTAAATTAGGGCTGCAAATGCCTTCAAAGCACAATCAATGGAAAAGTAGTCATGAGGAACCTATGAGTTAACCATTTGGTTCTGAGAAACAAATGGCAATGCAGGACTCTGGAATTCTAAATTGATAATTTTTTAATTTTTTAAAATTTATTTAATTGAGAGAGTTACAGACAGAGAGAGGGAGAGACACGTCTTCTATCTGCTGGTTCACTCTGCAAATGATCGCAATGGCCAGAGCTGGGCCAATCAGAAGCCAGGAGCCAGGAGCTTCCTCTGGGTCTCTCACGTGAGTGTAGGAGCCCAAGCACTTGGGCCATGTTTCACTGCTTTCCCAGCCCATAAGCAAAGAGCTGGATCAGAAGAGAAGCAGCTGGGACATGAACCAGTGCCTATATGGGATGCTGGCACTGCAGGTAGAGGTTTAGCCTACTATGCCATAGAACCAGCCCCCCTAACTTAATAATTATAATATGGTTTTATCTTTAAAGCCGCTGTGGAATAAGACAGCAGCAGTACCCCCAGGGAAAATGTAAGAATTAGAAAAATAGGTTTATTCTGCCTTAAAAACAAAGTAGCTTTTACTATGTGCCTCTAGTTAATATGCAGCATTTGGAGAGTTCTGAGGCCTAAGTGCCCCATCCCTTGGGGCCACCTACATCAGGTTGTTCAGTTGTTATTGTTAACAGTCTTCACTAGCACTCTTCTTCCTGCTCATCTCCCTGCTTTGGATAATTCATATATAGTGCCAGGGCAAAAGGTGTAGGTTTGAATATGTGTGATGACATCTCTATAGAATGCAAATACTTAAAATTGCTTTGGGACAAAATGTGATACAATATTAAGATATTATCACCATTGACAAAATGTGATACAATATTAAGATATTATCACCATTGAATACGTTAGGTTGTTATTATATCAGTGCATGGATTTACAGGAGCTGGCAGGAAAATACTCTTCCCAGTTTCTTCTTTATAATTTCCATTTAGGGCTCAACCTGTTGTGATGACCTCTCTGCTTCTCGTTCTACTCATTCCCTGAAACAGCTTTTGGCTTCCTGTTTCTCCACATCTTTTCCCACATACTTCTTTCCATCTACAATATTTGTCTTGCTCTTCCGTTCATCTAAGATAACTAGGCTAACTGCATCTGTGGGTCCATGGACATATATCAGTAGTCCTTCTCGGAGTGTCTGCAAGGGCAGTTTTCTTCTCTTACACTTATCATTTACTTTTCTAACTAGCTTTTCCATGTATTCCTGTTATTTTCAAATCAGATTATAATTAGATTGAAACATGAGACTTTGAAGTCATGTTTTGAAGCCAAATTGCATGCATTGTGCTTGGTAGGCAGTCAGTACATGCAATGATCAAAGCATTCTCCCTCCCTGGGAATTAATAACAATACCATGTTCCAAAGTACTCTATCAATATTGATCCACAGATCCTTATATCACCTAACATTACTGCTGTCACCATTGTTGATATCTTTCTCAAGTTGGAGTTAGATATCGCAGAGCACTTGGCACACTTGAGTTATTTTTCTTCTGTGACTCTGTGGCCTCATAGGAAAAGCTATTTCCTGATTACTCAATACCCCAAACATAAGAAAAATACACTGATGACATGTATCTTCAGCTTTTAAAAATAATTGACAACCTATTAAAATGACTTTAACCCTATCCATTTATTAATACAAAAAATGCTTATTGGAACAGGTGATGTGGTACAATGGTTCAAATGCTTCATAGGGGAAATTATTTATTTAATATGTATCATATTATCCTATTATAAAACAAACTTGAGCAAAGCTCAAAACTCATGTAAGTCTTGTTTAACTTATATTCCTAACGCCTAACCATGGTGGTTGGTATGTAATAAGTTCTCAATACACACACACACACACACATTACAAAGAGTGAGAAAGAAATCTTGCATTTTCTTAGGACAACCATATCCTATACCAGAGTGCCTCAGTTTGAATTCCACCTCCATTTCCAATCCAGGTTCCTGCTGTTGCATACCCTGGGAGGCAACTTAATGACTCAAGTTC